TGGTGGTTAGGTCTCAGTCCTATTTGTTATTTGAGCTTCATTTGGTCAAAAATCCTCATTAAAGAGTGAATAAATGTGTCTGCAGAGTACCACACACAAAGTATGTATATCCCTCTGAAGCTAAATTGATGCTATCTGAGGAATGTGGAACTGTGTGGGAATAACAACTTGTGTAGTGGTTCATTCAGCTTTGAAACACAAATGTCATTCCCTATCAAAAGCGAGTGAGTGGTTAAGTCAACATATAATTCAATAACAGCGTGTATTTGTATCAACAAAGTAAAGAGGTGCGCAGGGAAAGAAATTGATAGCCCTTAAAGCTAACTGTTAGACCTTTCGCGAATGGAGTCGATGTAATTTACCCGGTGGTAGAATGAAATGGAATGTGAAGTGGTGAAAATTGCTAGTTATTTCCATTTGTCTTACAAATCAGATTTCTGGATACCCACTGTCTGAGAGGCACTCCTCAGATTGATGGTATCTTCGTTTCAGACTTCCGGAATGGTGTTGTCTAGAGATATTCTACCTGACGGCTTTAAAATGATGCGCTCCATCTATTTATGTATGCCAGCGCATGCATTTACATGTACGCGCAATAGCATCTAACATAGTGAAGTAATTAAAAGTCTGCCTTCTAAATGTTCCCTCTAGCTGACTAGTACTATTTTAGCAAAGAATGCGCAAGATTCTATGCCGATACTACTCCATTAGGTAGTCGAAGATGGCAGTAGCAACTTGGTATCGCAGCGGTCTCAGCAACAAATTCAGGCTGTAATATTTGAGCTGCCGGATCTAGCGTTAGTAATTATCTTCTCAAAGACAAGGTTATTTTTCGCAAGCAAAATAAACTAGAGAGCCTTAATTCAACTCATTCTTCTACTTATCATACTGAGGAAATAAACAAATTTTACTCAAAGAATGGGCAATTTCAATAATCAAGTACTTTGTCAACCCATTTGGTTGAGGAGAAATAGGGAAAAGTACCCTTTGGCATTTACTATAACAAAGCTGCCTCTGGGAAAAAAATAAATTCCATTGAGAAGAAAAGATGGGCAATGGGATTAAGTACGCAGTTAAACGACCTATTACAATCAAAATTTACTTGCTAGATCGTTCAAGGATGCTGTCATTTGTTGTTAAACTATTTGGTTA